CTGCTAATCTTTCTCACTGTCTTTCTCGTGTTCTTATTCAATGCTTGTGTCATCATATAACCATCTCCTTTATATCTAATTTCTTGTGCCTTGCTCGTATCGCCTAATGTGTCAAAGCACCCTACTATTAATTTTTGGATAACTATTTTTACTCTTTTTGTCGCAGCCTTTTCCTCATTTAGAGATTTTAGTACATCGAAATTCTACCAGCTGCCAAAATACATTTCCTGTCAAAAGTTTTTGTCTGGGTGTACAGCAGTAAATGTTAGTTATCTCAAGTCGCTGCCGGTAACTGACTTTCCACTCGACAAAAAGTTACAAAACTAGAATTAATAGATTGATATTGTCTGATCTTATTTGTATATCAATGTAATAACAATAATTCAAAGTTCATGAATTATTGCTAGTCAAACTTCTTAAATTCCTGTAGTGACTTACCCACCGTCATCAAAATTCTAAGATGCTTCTAGAAGTTCCACAAACTTCAGATTTCGAATTTTGGGTATCATTAAGCTTATAGTAGAACGAAAAAATAAAAAATCTCGAAAAATCCATATGCATTAAAAGTTAGGTGTCTAGCCTCTACCGGCACCTGACGATCCAATCCAGTTTAGGGTTTTGTTGTTGAGTTGCTTGAGAACAAAAATACCAACAACAAATTGTTAAAATTTGTTAAAGTTAGGTACCTTAAATTGAAACTGTAAGTATACTTGGGTCTTATTCAATATACCTTTTATTGACGCAATGGGAATATACTGGGTACAAAACCTTGGATATTTAGTCAAATTTCGATATACCGGGTACTTGCTCATCACCGACAGAAATATTAGAATCTGAAAAAATGTAATTACTTGATATTCAAAAAGCCATCGTGTCTCAATAATTATTAATGCTAACTAATCGCTTATACTGCCGACTATAACTGCAAATTTTTCTTAAATAAATTATTTATTTAGTGTTAGGTTTAATAACTACTATATTTGGTAATTTACTCATTTGACGTAAAAAGAATCGTTTAACCGTATCTTATTTTACATTTTTTATGTATTTTGTAATTACGTTATATTTGTATGTAGAATTTAATGTATCTTGTAATGATTCACGAGGAATTTTGTATTGATTGATGATGATAAGCTTATGCTAATTTAATTCTTAAATATATTTACATATTACATATTGAGAAAGATTGATAATTTCGGATTACTGTACATTTTATCACAACTGAAACTCGATTTTATATTAAGAAACAATGTGCAGTATTTCTTTTATTTAAAATTGTTTAAATATTTAAAATCATGCCAATAAAATAATATTTAAATTTTAAATAACTTTATATTTCTAAAATAATTTATATTTCTATAATATTTTTTCAAACAAAATATTTTTAGAAAGATCTTTTTCTTCCGATTTCAAATATAATACATAAATTGCCTAATATTTGCGTGAACAGTTTTACTGCTTTGCCGTTTATAATATCCGTATTTATTTATCTGCTAAAAACTAAAGTGTTCTTGAATAGTTGCATTTAGATCTGTTCAATAGTTATTTTGATTTATTTTCTGTTTTTTTTTTTGCATCTGACGACACGACGGGAGGAGTTATACCTCCTGAAATGTTAAGCGTTTTTTGACGGTTAGGCAAATTTGTTTTACTAGTAAAAAATCACATTTTTCTTCCAGTGCAGTGGTGAATTTTTTTTTCAAGATATGAACCTTCCCACAAAGGTATATATTTTTACAAGAAAAGTTATATGTATTAATTATTTTTTGTATTAAAAATGAAAGAAATATCATTATTTATCTCAAATTCATTATATTTATCTCAATTCACAGACAGTACACGATACAAAATAGTAGAGGAAAGTTTAGTATTCCATATTTAATATGGAATAGTATGCCTAATATGGGATACCGCCATTTCTCGAAAACATCGCAAAAGATGAGCAGGTTTTACCTTGTCATTTAGACGAGTCACGGTGAGGGTGAGATAAAGGTAATTAGGTAAGGTAGGTAATTAGAAAGTATTTGTTGATACGTGATTGCAAATAATATTGTATATTATGACAATGCATTGATTACATGTTTGTTTGATGGTCTTATGGGCCTTTTCTTATCCGAATGCGTTTAATTAACACACGTTTTGATTAGTTTGAAGTATTTGTTTTATAGTGGTCCATATTTGGGTACCTACTCCATATTTAGGTGCCTTTATGTTCAATTATTTGATTTTGAGAAAATTTTATACTTTAAATTAATATATGTAACAGAAAACAGTTATTAAGTTATGTGCAACTGTATGACTGATTTAGTCTTGAGTGACTAAATATTAGTTATTACTAAAAATAAACATTTTTGACTTACAATACCCTTTTTTACAATACAAACACTAAATGGTATTCCATATTTGGTGACTTTCTTCTATTTCTGTTCATAGTATTTTTTCTATTTGGTAAAGAGAAAACCGAAGTGGTAAACTTCTCATACAAATAAAAGTTATAATATCCTATACATAAATATTAATTGTGGGGAATTAGAATTAATAACCTATTGTTTTAAAACTTTTCACATTTATTAATCATTTTCTCGCAAATTGATCTTGCCTTACGTAGCGAAAACCTCGGAGAATTCAGTATTTAACAATTGATTGTTTAAGTTTCCAATGATTAATAATAAACTGACGTCATATAAAAATAAAAGTACAGTCATAGTGTCTGCAAGGGAAAACAAACAAACAGAAATACAAGTTCTTTAGGCTTAAGCGTAGGGCGTTTCTTGTGGAAAACATACAGGAATATAAAATGTCATGGGGGTATCCACAATAAAATTGTAAATTATTAATTTCACTGTTTAATTATTAGTGGACCTTTTTACATTACATACGATAAGCTGGTAGGGTGACAGCCCGGTAGGGTGCATTTCAAAAATGGCTCACCCCTATAAATTTTTTATTTTTTCAGATAAAAAAACGAGATTTGGTATGTTAGTATATGACATAAATTAGGATTGACTGACGTATTTGACCGTTTTCAACTACTTCCTGTTTCACCGGAAATTATTACAACTTTTGATTTTTAAATGGCACCCGCAATATTTTTATACTTTATTCGATAGAAAATGACACTCTGGATAGAATGACATATCATATGGTAACTTTTGACATTTTCGCTTAAAATAAAATTGTATTTTATATTTCAATCTAGAGTGCCATGATTTAGGGGGAGCCTTAGAAAGATAGATTTGATCGTCTAATGTTTTTAGTGTCTTCTGGCCGGTTAAAATATGCTCAAATCATATTCTTAATCAATTTTATATCAATTTTTTCAAATGGAACGAGGGTAGCTCATTAGTATATTTGGAAAAAGCATTTTTTACGAATAATTTGGTACCACACACTTGGTATTTCGAGTCAAATTGGTGTTATGAATCGCATGTCGCAATTTTAAATAAACCATATTCGAAAATGTCAAAAGTTGACATATGATACGTTAATCTATTCAGAATGTCATTTTATATGGAATAAAAGTAACAAAATACGGAGGGTGCTATTTAAAAATCAAGTAGTCATTTCCGGTGAAACAGGAAGTGACCAAAAACAATTGAATACGTCAATCAATCCTAATTTATGTCAAAATTATTTTAGATTTTAAAAAGTTTAGAGTTGAATTTTGAACACCCTGTATGATATGAGATTACAATATTTATAGCAAAGTAAGTACGACCTATCTATAGTAAATAAACTAGAATAGGTTTTGATTTAAGGACCGGTTCTCGTATTTTTAATTAAAAAAAAATGAAAAATATATAGGTAGAATATTTTATTTATTTATTAATATCTTTGAAACTATCGAAACATATTTACTAATATCTTAGGGTTATGTAAAGTGATCAAAAAGAAAGCCAAAAATTTAATGCAATAATATACAGGGTGTTCCATTAAAAAAATCATCCCGATCCACTCATACTATTTTGAGCCACCCTGTAGAATAAATATTTTTCTGAAATATATCCTAGTACACATTTTAGGTTTGCACTTAAACAAAATTCCCAAGTTTTTTTTATTCTAGGAGCTACCGATGGCCGAGGCACTATTGCCGAACCCTGTATACGAATACGACTTATCATTGACGGCTACCATAACCTAATATTCGTTGACAATAGTTTCCGAAGAAACTTTTTTTATTATTATTTATTTAATAAATTATAGGGGCTGGACGTAACTGGTGGGGTGGTAAGTAACTGAAATTCCGTTATTTTTTTAATTATTATCTATGAACAGCCAAACAAACGTGAAAAAAATGCAAGAGATTCTTGCATGCTGGTATTTGATTTGGTCTTGCAGATCTAACGCTAGTTTCGCCCATCACCATGTCTCAAACGTATCAGTCTTTGAAAAAGCAAGCTGCGAGAGTTCTGGAGTCATGATTACAAAATCCCGCTTAAGATGGGCTGGCCACGTATGCAGGATGCACGAAAACCGCCTATCGAAATATTTGTCTTATGGAGAGCTTGTAGACGCTAAGAGGAAACCTGGTGGACAACTTAAAAGATACAAGGATATTTTCCATGAAAACTTAAAGGGCATCAGTATGCATCATCAGTGAGAGGAAGCAGCGCACAATAGAATGCAATGAAGGAAAATTGTAAACTCTTAACAACGACAACCAAAAACTAAAGAGGCCACCAAGTCATTACTTTAAAAATCTCATTTTCATGTCCGGAGTGCGGAAGAGAGATAACATCCCGTATCGGGCTTTTCAGTCACAGAAAATCGCATGAAAGAAAACGCCTTGCGTAACCATCTTCTGATGCGTGTCAAATACTTTCAAGTCAAGTCAGCTAGTAATGAAAGTGAGTAAATAAACGTACGGCTGGTACTAAATAGGCTGTGGTATGGAACCCGCGAGCGAAGCTTCAACCTGATATAATAACAATCATCGTTTTTTAATGCATTTTCCCATTACGCATCGACAGCCCATTCATTCGACGATTACCATACAACGAAATGACTAAGTCGCAATGGTTTAGTAACAATCGCACGGTGAAATGGCCCTCAGTCGGCACCGTTTTATCCGTCGGACGCTGCTCGCGCTCGCCAGCACGCCCGCTTGCTCATCGTCATTGTCGTTTGTCGCCCGCCGTTGTAGTTTTTAGTGCGCCGCTGTTGCGCCGCGCTTTTTATTAGCCTCAATTAGTTTTAATTTTTAACTATCCTGTGGGTGATTAGTCGAGAGAACGAGGGAGCACCCTCGCTCCCGGATTCCATGCAGTTTTCGAAAGCGATCGTTCGACGTCGCGCCTTCACTGCTTTGTCGTGTCGCCCGCGGATTTCTGTTTATCGAAGTTGAATTTACCCGCTCGATTTTTGGCGGGAACTCGAATTGGTCCGAACATGGATAGTTATGTTATCGAGAGGTCGCAGTTTTCAGAATTGGTTCGGTATGTATAGTATTAACTAACTTAAAATACTTAAAGATAACTAAACAATACAGATATTTTAAATAAAATATTTCAAAAGTGTATTAATTATGACATTTATAACATTAGAAGTAGTAGTACTTGGTATATTTATTATTATTTTAACAACAAAAAATAAATGTGAAATACAGTGGCGTGCCAAGGAAGTTTTGAAATTGTGGGAGAAGAAAACATTAGACATTTATACATACTGGGCAATTCAGGCTTCTGAAAAAGCTCTATATTAGGTTTTCGGTTTGTTAATTTAATTTAAATTTTTTAGATAATATGGGGGCAAAGGTAACGCACATTTCGAAAGTATTTTTGTCAATATACAGGGTGATTCAAACATATTTTTGAACCAAAGTTGGAATATTTTTGAATGGAACACTATATAAATGTTTGATCTCAGTGGATTTGCCACTAAATTTCCATTCCAAAAATACCATAATGTCATATATTCTACCGAGTGTTTTTAAACTAAATTGACACTCTTAAAACTCTAAATTCTAAGAATTTCAAACATTTTTAACTAAAAGGAAGTACTGTACCGGGTGGCCAACTATGAATGGACGCCGGCTTTATCTCAGAAACTACTTATCGTATAACTTTGAGAAAAAAAATCTAATAAGTAAATCGACCAAGAGAAATTGCTGGAAATTATTTTCCAGTTCGAAAAATGCCCGCTAGGGGGCGTTTCTCTAAGAGCCAATCAGAAGACAGGGGTTTTCTCAAAAATATGCAGGTGAACAGGTATTTTAAATATTACCTTTGTAATCATCGAGAAATTTGTAATTTTTTTGATACAGAGTATTTTGCTCTATCTCATAAAATAAAGTGGTGGGGGAAGGTTAAACTTGCTTTTATTAAAATAAGGATAACTCTGTTTTAGGTTACGCGATTTAAACAAACTAGGGCTCGTTTAAAAGAGCTTTTCTTCTTTAATTATCTCCAGTATAAATTTTATTTCCACAATTTTTTTCGTGGTAGCTAGAGGGCGCTGTTTGACATCATAACAGATATTGCGCTTTTGCGTAAAAAATTTAAAGAGGAGGCTATACTTCACTTTGCACAGTTAAATAGAGCACAAAATTTCCAAAATATCAGCGCAAACCGCAACTTTCTATCTTCTCACTAACCGGAGATATTAAGAGAACAAATCATGTTAGGCTGCCGCTTAGGATTATATGGTCTAAAAATTATAGTACTAGGCTAGGAAACAAAAAAAGGTAAACTGGTTACGTCAAAATATCAAAACGTTTAAGTTCAGTTTTCATGCATCCGAATTTCGGGCGGTTTCTTCAAAAAAATGACGTCATAATTATTTAAACGTGTTTATGTAACATTATCATCCATCCATATAATTTTTACGAATTTCTTGGTTAATTATACGTAAGTAGTTGTCAGATTAAAATGTCCGAAAGTCGGACAACCAATAATTTTATTAAAATTTCTAGGAATTTTGTGCCGCCATATTGCTTTTAACAGAAAACGGCCGAATTTCGTATTGTCGAAAACTAAGGGTTTATTTCATGTGTAACGTCATTTAGTTATTAATCCAAGTTCGTCCTTGATTTCACTTGTTTTCGTGTTTTACCTGTTGTTTGTGTTATTTATTATTATATTATAAGGTTTATGTCGTTTGGGTCACTTTTCATATAGCACCGAACGAAGGTGCGAATCTTAACAATATGCACTACTGGTTCAAATCTACCCTTAATGGAAGTAGTTTAGCACCAAAACGGTTGGTCGGTAAATGTTTACCCAGGAATTCTAGGATGGCGAATGATTGGACTTTTTAATTATCGGAATGAAATTAACTATCCATAATTTATAAGAAATGAATTGCAAATTTTGTTAGAGGATCCATCATGATGAAATTACATTTGTTGTAATTTTATCAGCACGAATGCAGTTGGTGTAGTTGAGGCAGTGGTGCCGCTTATTTTGCTATGAATTTGTGGGGCTTCTTGGGTACCACTTATTTAGTAGATAGAGACGCTGGAGCTTTGGAATTTACCTCTTTTTGTGTCCTAGCCTACTACTATAATTTTTAGACCATATAATCCTAAGCGGCAGCCTAACATGATTTGTTCTCTTAATCTCCGGTTAGAAAAAAGATAGAAAGTTGCGGTTTGCGCTGATATTTTGGAAATTTTGCGCTCTATTTAACTGTGTAAAGGGAAATATAGCCTCCTATTTAATTTTTTTACGCAAAAGCGCCATATCTGTTATGATGTCAAACAGCGCCCTCTAGCTACTACGAAAAAAATTGTGGGAACAAAATTTATACTGGAGATCATTAAGAAAGAAAAGATCCTTTAAACGAGCCCTAGTTTGTTTAAATCGCGTAACCCAAACCAGAGTTATCCTTATTTTAATAAAAGCAAATTTAACCTTCCCCACCACTTTATTTTATGAGTTAGAGCAAAATACTCTATATCAAAAAAATTACAAATTTCTTGATGATTACAATAGTAATTTCACCGCATATTTTTGAGAAAAACCCTGTTTTCTGATTGGCTCTAAGAGAAACGCCACCTAGGGGGCATTTTTCGAACTTGAAAATAATTTTCAGCAATTGTTCTTGGTCGATTTACTTATTAGATTTTTTTCCCAAAGTTATACGATAAGTAGTTTCTGAGATACAGCCGGCGTCCATTCTTAGTTGGCCACCCGGTACAATAGTGTCGGTATATACAGGGTAAGTATTAAAAAAGTGCAAATATTTTCAGGGCTGATGGATATCGATAAGAGAAATATATTTTCTCTTTACCGTTTTTCAAATAAGTCCAAAATTATCGAGTTACTTTACTTTGAAAATTTCCAAAAAAATGATTTTTTGCTTAAATTTTGAGAACCATCTTTTCTGGGCTTTCTTTCTTGTAAATTTAATCTACTACCTATGTTGCCATATTATCAAGAAACGTTGTTTTTTTTTTAAACTAAAAACTAAAAAAAAAAAATAAAAAAATTCCAATTAAAAAAAAAAAAATTACGAAAAAAAACTCATGTTCGTATTTCTGGGGTCGAAATATACTACCCCTAGAAGTACTTCCATTTATCTAAGACTCAAGTCCAAACTAAAAGTTGTATTTTTCTCCACTATTTTAAAAGGAACTCTCGGTATCATAATCGAACAAGGTTTTGTTTAATCTCTTGTTATTAAGCACTTCCTATTTCCTATAGGCACCTAAAATCGATATTTAATGAGAAAATTGTGTTCTTTTCGAAAATATGGGACAAGATCTGACTTTCATTCTATCATTAATAGTGTCATACCTATCTACTACAGTGTGGGCTAATCTATTACTTTTAAAGGTAGCTTTATCGGAAAATATGATTTTAGTTAAATGCCCCAATCTTCATGAACTGTTACTAAACTATTAAAACTACTCTGAGACACCTCCGTTTGAGCCGATATTTCTCGAGAGGAAGCACTACGACCTCGTTTACGATTTTCTTCTACTATTAGTAATATTATATTCAGCTTACTCTCTTCTTTTATACAACATCTAACATTTTTTGTATAATCCACATTGCCCCTATTGTTAAATCTTCGTTTGAATTTCAGAGGGCTTTAAATAAGCAATACATTTAGTTTTAAAACGGTTATATTTCAACAACTACTCGGTATAACATATAACATAATGGTATTTTGGGATCGAAAATTTAGTGGCAAATTCACTGAGGTAAAACATATATAGTATTCCATTTAAAAATATACAACTTGGTTTGAAAACATGTTTAAATCACGATGTATGTTGGCAAAAATATTTTCAAAATGTGCGTTACCATTGTCCCCATATTATGTTAAAAACATTTAAATGAAATTCATACAACCAAAAACCTAATCTAGAGCTTTTTCGGAAGCTTGAGTCACTCTGTATTAAATAATTTAAAATTTTTTACTTCTTTCAATAATAAAACAAAACCTATGCCGGGTGTTTTTCAAAAGTAGCTCACCCTAGAACACTTTTATTTTTTAAGATAAACCAGATTTGGTATAAGCATTTTTGACTTATTGTTATATACAGGGTGTCCCAGAAATAAGTGCAAGTATTTTAAAGGGTGATAGATCGCGATAAAAGAAACATATTTTCTCATCGTTTTTCAAATAAGTCTAAAATAACGGTTATTTTACTTAGAAAATAAAAAAAAAATGATTTTTTGCTAAAATTTTGAGAAATACTGGATCTTTTCTGGATTTTCTTTTTTGTAAATTTAATCTAATACCTATGTTGTCATATTATCAAGAAATTATGTTTTTTAACTAAAAACTAAAAAAAATCAAAGAAAAATTCAAAAATTTCGAATTTTCAATTTTTTTTTCGCGAAAAAAAACTCATAGGCGTGTTTCTGGGGTTGAACTATACTACTAGTTAAAATACTTGCATTTATTTCTGGGACACCCTGTATTGTTAATTGTTATATTAATAATTTTGTGCCATATATCTTCTAGATATTTCAAGTCAAATTATTGTATTATTATGAACACAGTATGCCACTCTAATTTGAGCACAGTATTCAGAATGTAATTTTTAATTGAATAAAGTAAAAAATACCGAAGGTACCATTTCAAAATCAAATGGTGAGGTGGCGCCCTCTACAAATAGGAATCTTTTTGACATCAAAATCAAACTTCTCTTGCCAAATAACACCCAGGCAACAGTTTTCATCCAAATATCGACATTAGTTAAAAAAAAGAAATTATTTGAAAAAAAAAACGAAATGAAATGAAACTTCAACACCCTGTATCTCCAAAACGAAGCAAGCAGCTTTTTTTGAGGGGGTGGTAAAAAAACCTTTTATAGGCGAGTGGTGTTCGTTCCCATCACCATCTCGAGAGAGACGATCATAGAGACGAACCCCAAACAGTGTGGGAGTCGAATTGTTACACACTAAAAAAGTCCACCTCCGAGGAGTCAGCTTCTCCTCTCCCCTTACCCGGAACCGCCGCATGGCATTACTTCGGGTTCATA